TATTTTGGATGTGATTAATTGCGATTAATCGTTTGACAGCACTAACTGAAGAGCAAGCTACTCTGAGATACTGAAAACAAAGGATCAGGAGCTGCTCGTGTGTAAAAGAACACAGTGTTGCGTTTTTCCCTGAAACAGCACAGTGCTTGTTGAATTAATTATTATTAAACATTCCTGTCTGCAATTTTTGTGTCATTTTGAGCTATGTGTGTTATGTTTTTCATTATTGTTGTAATCAGGGGCGGACTGGGGCTAAACTGAAATCTGCGTTCGGTTCTAGTACATACTGGTTACATAGGTACCGGTGCCATATTGGTACCGGGTTTCGGTACCCAACCCTAAACATTAATGAATGACCGTCATACTTCTTTACATCATAATTTGTCTTTCCTGATGTAGGCTATATGGCAATTTGTAAATAATATTTTTACACATCTCTTTTACATAGAGGGACAGTTTAATATCACTAAAGTTAAATGCCTACCATAATACCAGTCCATACTCTGCTCTGCTCTAGAAGACTTGGAATGTAGTGCAGAATGTTGGCTGTTTTTATTGTGCCTTTCAATTGCTTGACAAGATTTTTTTTTATGAAAAATGTTATGATGATGAAAAATACAGTAAATTGTAATATGTGAAATATATACATCTACAATTTAGAATAGCTGTTTTCTGTGCAAATATATAGTTATATATTCTGTGATCAAAGCTGAATTGTCAGCATCATTACTCCAGTCTTCAATCATTCTAATATGCTGATTTGCTGCTCAAGAAACATTTCTGATTATTATCAATGTTGAAAAAGTTGTGCTGCATTATATTTTTGTGGAAAATGTTTTACATCACCATTCAGTCTGGAGTATAGGCAATGTAGCCTACATTTACTATAATCCATTCTTTATATTTACGCAATGGGCCGGCCCACATTGTACAGCGGCCCACCGGGAAAACTCCCGGTGCTCCAGATGGCCAGTCTGCCACTGGTTTTATTTTCATTGTTGTTGCTTTTGTTGGTTCTATGTTGTTTAATAATATTTGTATACAGATAGATAGATAGATAGATAGATAGATATATAGATAGATAAGAGGAGGGATTAGTAGGAAACTAATACTGGAGTTAGACAAGATCGTGCTTGAATTGCCCTGCATACATCTTATTCAGTGCTCTAGCACTGACACAATCTCTCTCTCTCTCTCTCTCTCTCCAGAGAGCACGGCTCCCTTTCAGCTTTTACTTCCCAGAATCTAAACGCTGACCATGACCTTTCAATGACCTTTGAGCCTGAAAAGAACATTCGGCATTCAACAGAGGAGCGCGCAGGTAGGGGAGGGCCACTGGAAAACAAGATGCGGTTAGACAGAGAGAAAGAGAAAGGAGAGACGCAGCTAAAAGGAGACAGATAAAAAAGAGGAGTTGGAACGGATGAACACGGGATGAAAGAGAACCGATAGACCGTACAGGGTAGAAGAGGAGTCAAACGAAGATGAAGACGGGAATGGATAGGAACAGAAGCATGGCTGAAAAATGAAAGAGTGAAGGATGAGAGTGGACAGATGAAGAAATGAAGAAGGATAGAAGGAGCTCACGAAATGACCAGACAGGTTAAAGACTTTGTGGGAAGCAGACAGGAGGGAGACAGACAGAAAGAATGTCGCTCACATCCTGACATTGATGAAATAGAAGTTAAATATTACCATCAAATGCTCGTTAGCGTGTATACTCTGTGTTGCTTTGGTAATGGGTTACTAATTGGCTGATGCGGAAACGCCCGGCATGACTAAGTGATGTGGGAGGGGTGTGCGAGTTAAATCCCTGTCGGTCTCTGGCAGGCTGCCTGCTGATTGGATGTCGTGCCAGAGTGAGTGCCAATTGGAGGCGGCGGTGACTTTGCAGACTGGAGGCAACCTCTTCACACGCAAACATAATTAATAGTCTGTTAGTTAACAGTGGCGGTGATGAACGCTTCTTTTATCTGTCTCTCTCGCTCTGCTCTCATGAGGCTCTAGCCATGTGAAGTCTAGCGGAGGAAGCAGATCGAACGCTATTACTACCATTTTTGATCAAAACGGAACTTACTGTAACACGTAAAGAGGGTTTAAAGCCACTAATAAAATCTGTGTTGGAATGAACGGAAGTACATGCACACGTACACT